CCCGATGGGAGGCGGGGCCGCGGCGTCCGCGGGAAACCCAGGCTAGCGGCGTTCTGTCAGCTGCCGCCGCCGGAATGGCAAACCTGGGGAGCGTGGTCCTGCGGCCCTGGATCCGAGAGCTGATTCTGGGGTCAGAGGTGCTCTCAAGTCCACGAGCCGGGCAGTTGCTCAAGGTGAGCCCCCATTCAGGGCTCAGAGACTGGGGCTCGGGTGGGGGGCGGGGGCCCGGGGCAATGGGATTGACTGATCGCCGCTGTCAGGTACTGCAGGAGGCCGAGGCCCCGGGCCCATCTTGCGCCCCTAACGCGTCTGAAGGGGCCGTTCTGCTTGTGTCCGACGGGACCCACAGTGTCCGATGCCTGGTGACACCGGAGGCCCTGGACAATTCGAGCTGGTGAGAGGGGCGCCAGGGAGACCCAGGACTTGGGGATCATTTTCTAGCCTAAGAGCGCAAGGTTTGAGCCCGAGGAGGGGGGTCTTGAGAGGAGAGGGCGAGGCTTGAGTCCCAGGCGGACGGGTCTTGTGTTCTGGCGGGCTAGGCAGTGAGGGTCCCGCTCGCGCAGGGAGGAGAAGGAGTTCGGCTTCAGCGGGGCAGAGGGCCGGCTGCTGCTGCTGCAGGACTGTGGAGTCCGTGTCCAGGTCGCTGAGGGCGGTACGGTAAGTGGTGAGGCTAGCGCGGGCTGGTTACTGGGCTGGGCCGACTTAGTGACAGCTCCTGAAGCCTGCCCCTAAACTCTCTCCTCCAGCCTGCGGAGTTCTATCTCCAGGTGGACCGCTTCAGCCTGCTGCCCACGGAGCTACCCCGAGTATGGGTGATTGGTTGGTAAGTGAAGTTCCACAGGTCCCTCCCGACCTGGCTGGTATTGGCATCATAGGCCTCTTCCAGGGAAGAATCTGTTACACTGATTGCCCACCAACCTCTTTATTTTTTTCCCCAGCAACCTGGACTTAGATGTGCAGAAAAAACTCTATGACTGCCTTGAGTGAGTCTGGGGTCAGGATCTGGGGCCAAGCGTGGTCAGGTTGGGGAGTGGCAATTCTGGGAAGACGGTTTCAGGATTTTTCCTGAAGCCTATCGATATGCACTTTTCTTGTAGGGAGCACCTTTCAGAGTCTACCCCCTCCAATGCAGGTACTTAGAGGGTTTGACCAGTGATTCCTGACTCCTGTTAATGGCTCTCTGGCACTAACAACCCTGCTTTCTCAATAAGCTCTCTCCCGCCCCACCCTACTTCTGGTCTTCTTGGAGCCTCTACCTATCCCCTGGCCCCCTGTCCCCAGGCCTGTCACTGACCCAGCTTCTGGATGAGGTACAGGAGGATCAGGAGCATCGGGGAGCCTTAGTGCGCCTGGCTGAGAGCTGCCTGATTCTGGCAGGCCCTCGCACAGCACCCCGCCTCACCCACTGGGCAGCCTCACACAGCAGGGACACGGTCAGTCTGGGGCCTTCCTTGGGACACAGCAGGGTAAGGAGCGAGGCGCGGACTGTGAGTTCTTGTCGCACAGGAAGAAGCTGTATACACTGTCCCCAGCGTGTTGCTGCACATCTCCGAGAATGACCAGCGAATTCTGAGTTCTCTGGGTCCAGAGCAAAGGACACAGGGTAAGGGGGAGGGGAGAGATCAAGGGAGAGTACCTGGGGCCCAGGGCCTGAGGCCAAGGGCTGATAAACCTCTTGTGGACCCCCAGGCTCTGAACTGCCCCCACCAGACCCACTTCTGCAGGACCTATCTCTGACCCAGGTCTCCTCTCTTCCTTCTCCACCCGGTTCCTCAGGTGAGGTGGTCCCTTCTATCATTCAGAGACTGGGGCTGCGCAACATGTTGGGACAGGTTCACAGTGGGTGGGGGATGAGCACAGTCCTGGTAGGACTGCCTGAGCTTGCAGACCTCTCAGCGGTATGAGCTGGGAGGCCTGTGACCACAGTGATCCCTTCTCCTCAGGAACTCCTGCCATACCCAGCCATAAGCCACCAGAGGACAGTGATGCCAGCATCAGCCTTCTGCCTGCCCTGTCCATGGCTGCTCCAGACCCAGCACAGAGGGGTGACACCCAGACCCTACCAGCTACCCAGCCCCCAGCCCCCCACACTTAAGCTGCTCTCCTAGTCTCTCGCCCCTGGGCCAGGGCCCCAGTCCACAACAGGCTCCTGTAACCAGGGCCCAGAAACCCACCCTGGAGTTCAAGGGGGTAGGGTTGCCTCCCAAGAACCAGCAGCCTTCTCCAAGGACCAGAATCACCACGAGAGCTAAGGAGCCCTGCCCTGTCTGGGTGAGCACAGTTGAATGGGGAGGGCTTTGGGTAGAGCTGGGAGTATCTGAGGTAGCCTTGGATGGGGTTAGGTATCCTTGTTGGCCCCTCCCAAGATATCAAACCCCTTTTAGGATCCCCCAAAGAGGCATCACGATGGTTCTGCCTTCCAATATAAGTATGAGCCACCCTGCACCTCCCTCTGTGCCCAGGTCCAAGCTGCCAGGTGAGTGCCTGGGGCTTGAACTCTTGACTCTGCTGGTTACCAGCCCAGGTTACAGTGACCTGCAGCCATGATTTCTTCCCAGGCTTCCTCCCCAGCTCATAGCCTGGGCCTTGCACTTTCTGATGGAGCCACAGCCAGATTCCGAGCTAACCCAGGTGTGAGAGGTCACACAGGCATGGGAGGATGTGCGCACATGGAGCCAGGCCTGGGGTGTACACACAGTGCTCTCTACATGCAGCTTCCTTTGAGTTTTTTAATAAAATAATCTCATGCGGCAAGATAGGAGAGGATCAGGGGTTGGTGCTGCCGCCTCTTTGGTCTGTGGCTGGGGAGGGTGGGCTGTGCTCAGGGCTGGAGGGCTGTGTGTGCTGTCGGGGCAGAGGCTCAGTTCCAAGGCCAGATCCTGTGAGGGAAGAGATGAAGGGTCAGAACTGGGCCCAGCAATCCTTTGTGCCTCCCAGTTGGCCCTGGCTCCCTCTTACCTAGGCTTGGGGATGGGGGGGCCTCAAGCTTCGGCCTGCGTTTGAGGACAGGGGAGCGCTGCAGCCGCAGGGGCCGATCTGAGGGACACACAAGAAAGGCTTGGGGCTGGGTTGCTAAAGGTGCAATCTCTCCATCCCAGCCCCTCTCCACCTAGAGCACACAAAGCATGTGCACATAATGGTGCCTCAGAGCTTCCCCCATCCCCAGCATCCTCTCACCTAGGCAAGAGCTGCTGTTTGGGAGGAGGAGCCAAAGCTAGTAGAAAGGGCTTATTGTCAAACCCTTGCACCCTGCCTTCTGGCTTCCTGATTTCTTTCTTTCTTTTTTTTTTTTTTTGAGAAGTTTTTGCTGTAGGGGGCGTGTGCTCACCCGAAAGACAGACAGACAGACAGAAAGTGAGAAATCACACCCCAGGGGAGATGACCACGCCACAATCCCTTTTCCTTTATACTCCTCTTGGGATCTTGGACACACACGCACACACTTCCGGTGTGAGTTTAAGCTACTGGGTCTGGGACTCAAACCGTGGTTGACTACATGGGAGTCCAGCAACATAGCCATTATGACATCTGCTCGTCCTGGCTTCCTGATTTCTTGAGCCCTCACACCATTAGCGGCCCCTCTGAGGACCAGCCATGAAGGGCACTCAGGAGCCCAGCCTCCCCCATCTCTTCCTGCACTCAAACACACACAGAGGTGTCTCCCCTCACCAGCAGGGGCCTGGAGCTGGTCTTCATGCACAGACACTGCTCGTCGCCCTGCCGAGAGAGGCCGCGGCCTCAGCTGGCCATCTGAGGGAGGCCAGGGTGTCAGCGTATGGTTGCAATAGCTGCTCCCACTCCAGCCCTTGCCCCCCCACCTTCAGGGGCCCCAAAGGAGCTACATTCCCTGCAGGGACTCCTCCAGTCCCCAGCCCAGGATTGGGGTGGGGTATGGGGTTCCTACCTACCTTCATTCCTGGGGCCTAAGCAAGGGTCCTCTGGGAGGCCCAGGCTGTCTGGGGAGGGGCTAGCTCTGCGGGGACTTGGGCTGGGACAAGGGGAGGGGGGGCCTGGACCATCCTGTTGGCCCCAGCCACGGCCTCTGAGCTCTGCATTCAGCTGTTGTCCCAGTGTCTTCCAGGTGGCTGACTCAGGCCCCTGACCCCCTGGGCCGGGTCTGCAGGAGGGGTCTGCAGGGAGAAAGGTGTCAGCTGAGGTGACAATCTGACCCCCTCCCGGCTATCTGTACACCTCTCCCAATGGACACAGTGGCCCTTACTCACCGGCAGACACAGAATGGGTGCGAGACTTGATGGAGATAGGAGGGGTCTCCGTGGAACTGTCCATAATGTCACCTGCAAAATGGGGCTGAGGGCTCAGGCACTGGACCTTCAGGGTAGGGGGAAGAAAAACCTGGCCTCTTCCCCTTTGTCCCCCAGGAGAGCAAGTGCCTTGGGGACTATTTCTAAGGACACCTCTTCCCCATAGCATGCTGCCCTACCCCAGGATCCCACTTACCGTCTGAGCCAGCTTTCTTGATCTCACCATCTTTGCTCTGTAGGAAACAGGGCGATCAAACTCCAGTCCTGCCTCATCCCGCACCCTTTGTTCTTTCTTGTTATAACCCAGCCATAGAATGCTACCTGGGCTGGATAAGAACATGGCAGACCCAGTCCCGGCCCTCTTAGAGCTCAGTCAGTCTGGGATGGTAGACAGTCAGCACCCAGAAATGGCCATATGTGTGCATATTCGCACACAGAGATTATGCGGTTTCTTAACTTTGATGCACTTTTCACACTTCAGTCTAAGTTCAAGCCAGGTCTTGCTTTATGTTTTTTCTGAAAAGCTATTAACCGGATGGTACATAGGGCTGTGGTTCTTATTGGGAACTGTGACCAATGACATTACCTGGTAGCTCCCATGGAAGGGGCAGGCCCACAGGGAAGTGCTGGGCTGGGTAAGGAGACCCTGGTGTAACCCATGGGTGATGGTGAGACTGGAAGTGGGACAGGGAAGGGATCCAGACCAAGGACATGTGTAGACATCTGAGATACACCCAGTGGAGAATAGTGTGGGCAAAAGTGACCAGGGTCTAGACACCATAGGGCCTTGAGGCAAGGTTAGGAGCCTGGACTTTTTTGAGACGAAGCCCTTGGAACCTGGAGGACTTGCTATTTCAAGTACAGGTGACAAAGATTTGTGTTACGGGCAACCATGGTTCAAGTCCTGGACCTGGTGGCTTACTTTCTCACTTTCTCTCTCTCTGTCTCTCTCTGATCAAATTAAATGAATGAATAAATAAAGTTAAATAAATAATTCTTAAAAAAAAAAAAAAAAAGATTTGTGTTAGGTCTGCAGAGCAAGGACTTCCCCAGGTCCCTGGAGGAAGTAGTGGCCTGGGTCAGGGCCGAAGCCCTGACAGCTGTCTTGAGGTGGGGGGAGCAGAACTAAGGAGTAGACCGATCTCCTCCCTCCTGGTCGCTTATGTCGCCCACAGACTGCCACCTGCCCATCACCTCACACTCGTCCCCCACAGCTCACTTGCTTCCTCTTGCCTTCGGTGCTCCCGCTGCCTCGGCTGACACCGATCCTCTGCAGCATCACTTGTACCCGCTGTTCAAAGGACGGGGCCAGCTCAGTGTCTCCCCGCTCCAGGGGCCTCCGCTAGGGACAGAAATGTCTGGGTGGAGGGCAAGCCCACCGCCCTCAGTTCCACAAGACCCCTCACCCCTGTCACAGGCCTCACCTTGTCGGATCTGGCAGCCAGTGTCACCTCCTCTTCCTCCTCAGCAGGCAGCAGTATCATGGAGTAGGCCTTGCTCTCCCGTGTGTAACGAGGCCGGTTCCTGCGGGCAGGGTCAGGGCTGCTGGTGCCACCCTCTGCCCCACCAGGTTCCTCACCACGGCTGGGACGAGCTGGTGGTCGCAACAGGTCCCCAAGTGTGGTTTTTCGGGCACGGGGAGCTGCCCCAGGGCTGGTCTCTGGATCAGGCCGTGAGCCCCGTGTTGAGCGAGGCTTCTTGAAGGCAAAGAGGGTACCCAGTTTCTTTCGTAGTGTACGGGGGACAGGAGTAGCACCCCCCTCGGTGGCCAGGTCCTCCTCGGGGGCCCAGCTGTAGGGACAAGCAGCAGTTAGTGAGAAAGCTCCTGGGACATCCCACCCTCTCCCACCACCTGCAACTGCCCCTCACTCACAGGCGATCCTGCTGGATCAGCCTTTTCGAGAAGAATTCCTCCACGCCCTCATCCACGCGGGCACTGAGCCCATTCCCTTCTTGTGGCAGGGCAGGAGGCACCTGGGGAACACCATGGAGGCAAAGGGTCAGAGCTGGTACAACTGTGGCATCTCTTCTTTCTTCCCAGTCCAGCAGCCTGACCTGGGTAACTCCAGGGTTTCGTTTATGGGGTGACCCTAGGGGGCTGCCGCTGCAAGCCCTCCCACTGTCCTGCTGCAGGCCGGACTTCACACCTTCTCTCACTCGCTGCCAGCCTGGCATGCACGCCCAACCCACACCCGTTCCTGTCCCACGGAGTATCTTATACGCCCCAAACCATCCGGTCACCAGCAGGCTAGCACCCACGCGCCCCCTGGGTCACACGTTCCCACCTGCCACCCCCTGTGCTCCAAACAGTTCCCTGCAGTACCCCCCACCCCCACCCCACCCGGGCTGCTGCCCGACC